ATGTTTAACTTTTAGGTGTGCTCGTCCTTAAGTTATTTGTTTTTGTTATTTATGGCCTTATAACAATTATATTCAACAATTTTTATTGAGTTTGAGGCCGCTTTTGATGAAAAACTATTGTGGACAAGCAACAATTTGAAAAAATTGTAGAAGTGATAGCTATTTCGGAAACCACCACATTTCCTCATCAGGCTTCTTCACTGGGACTCGAACCAACGACCCCAGCTGACACAGCCAGTTGCCTACGCACTGTGCTAAGTCCGCCTTATAAACTGTTGTTGCTTTTTCCACTTTTTCCATGTGAGCCAACTACAATCAAGCGCAGCTATTCCAGTGTTATTTAAAATTGATCATGTGGTGGTTGGTTTTTGTTAATAATTCTATTTTTAGAATGTTTAACTTTTAGGTGTGCTCGTCGTTAAGTTATTTGTTTTTGTTATTTATGGCCTTATAACAGTTGTATTCAACAATTTTTATTGAGCTTGAGGTAGTTTTTAATGAAAAACTATTGTGGAAAAGCTACAATTCGAAAAAATGGTAGGAGTGATAGCTATTTCGGAAATCACCACATTTCCTCATCAAATTTCTTCAGCGGGATTCGAACCGACGACCCCAGCTGACTAAGCCATTTGCCTACGCACTGTGATAAGTTCGCCTTATAAACTGTTGTTAATTTTTCCACTGTTTCTCATGTGAGCCAACTGCAATCAAGCGCAGCTATTTCAGTGCTATTTAAACTTAATCATGTGGTTGTTGGGTTTGTTGGTTTTTTTATTGTATTTTTAGAATGTTTAACTTTTAGGAGTGCTCGTCGTTAAGTTATTTGTTTTTGTTATTTATGGCCTTATAACAATTATATTCAACAATTTTTATTGAGCTTGAGGCCGTTTTTAATGAAAAACTATTGTGGAAAAGCAACAATAATTTGAAAAAATTGTAGAAGTGATAGCTATTTCGGAAATCACCACATTTCCTTATCAAATTTTTTTTAAGACGTAGCGAAAAAAACTAGTTCAGCACACTCAGTGAAAATTTAAAGCGGTACGTTTTTTAAATACAGGCATCAGCCACGCATCTAGATTCAGGTTCAATAATTTGCCAATATCTCGAGAAGTAATGAACGTAAAATCCTCTGCGATGACTCTTTTTGTTCGCTAAGGTTATGGCTATACATATCATCATTAACGTAAAATTAAATAAATTTTTTCTAAGAAATAATCATATTTTCAATTTCAATTTCGGGTTTTGTCTGATTTTTTTGTATTATTTATTCGTATTATCTAAAAAGGTAAGAGCTGGATCGAAAAAATAACTCTTCTAGTGTATTCAGCGGCCTCGAAAGCATATTATAAGATCTTACAAAACTTAGATTTCCAGAGGAATTTCGCGTGCGCACGGATTGAAGGAAGAGTAATTTTAAGCAAAACAAAAATGGATTTGAGCGGCCTCTAAATTTTATTTTTTTTTTTAAGTTATGTACTTCAATTTTTTAGCAAACGGAACACAAATTTGCACTGAGTAATATTAAAAAAAAAGATTTCATGGACCACTCTATTGGGCACATGCTGACAACATTACATATTTTGTTCACAATACGATAGGGGACAATTTAGTTGTGTATTCGGCATTTTAAACTTAGTTAAAAAAATAGTCAAATGGTCAAATAGTTACACTACCAATGGGGTTACTCCTAATAATCTATCTTCCTTTCATAAATCTTATCTTATTGATAATTTACTTAGTCTTAACCTATCGCAAATTGATAATTTTGTATACGAGCTCGATAGAATTTTAGATTTAATTTTCATTTGCGATGGGGTAAATTACAGCATTACCAAATGTCTTTCCCAATTACAGCAGCAGGTCTGCATCATGTTGCGCTCATTCTTAAGATGGAATTTTGTCATTTCGCACCGATCACTATAGGTACTAATCTTTTAAGGCATTAACAATTTGTTCGCAGATTTGGTCCGACTTGCTCGACGACTTGGATGCCGACAACTGCTTTAACACCTTCAAGACAATTTGGTTGACATTTGTTCTGCCAACATTCCACCGTCAAAAGTACCATTCTCGATTAAAGAAGCTCAAAAATCAGCGAGCGAAATAAATATTACAACAAGTACAAATCAACCAATAGTCCGAGATACTACACAATGTACAGAAAGCGTTTTTAAAAAGAGTTTAACTGCCTTGATAAGTTTCTCCACAAAAATTATGTCCTTAATTTTGAACTTAATATTAAATCTAACCCCAAAGCCTTCTGGAATTGTGTTACATCGAAAAAATCATGCTCTACTATTCCATCTTCAGTTTTCCTCAATACTAGCGGATACTCCCGCTGATGTGGCTAATCTGTTGGCTGACTTCTTCATATCCAGTGATTTAGACACAAATCTTGATATTGGGAATGCATCCGGTGTTAGTTCCTCATTTGGCTTTGGTTCCCTATACCTCTCATAAGATGATGTAGCGAAAGGTGTTGTTGATCCAAAGACTTTCGCAAGAACTGAGATTGATGGAGTATCCGCACTTTTATTAANGGTTCCCTATACCTCTCATAAGATGATGTAGCGAAAGGTGTTGTTGATCCGAAGACTTTCGCAAGAACTGAGATTGATGGAGTATCCGCACTTTTATTAACACTGTTTATCGGTCAATAGCCTTATATTGTATTTCGGCTTTTTCTAATGCATCTCAGGTGGATTGTATCTACACAGGTGCCGCATAGATTTTTAGTCGCGAAACTCGAACGCCTAAAGCAGGGATCATACGGTTTGTACATTTGCATATTCGGCAGTCACATAGTGGTGTTGTCTAGAAATTTGTATCCAGAATGAGTTCAGCACTATAACAAAATATGAAAGAACACCTTTCTGTAACTGTGCAAATGTACAAATCGTGTGATCCCTGCTTAAGTCTCCATTCTGTCTTTTTAAACTGGCTTAATTCGTCTTTGTGTTGCAGGCGATGCGTTGTTACGGTAGACCATTTTTCGTCTGATATCTTCGGTGCAACCTCGGGAGTGCCACAAAGTAGTATTCTCGGGTCAATGCTTTTTGTTTTGTTTATAAATGACATTAGTTAATGCTTCTCTTTTTCAAATTTTCTGTTATACACCGACGATTTGCAAATATTCTCGAATATGAGCACTGCCGACATGCTCAAACTTTAATCAGAGCTTGACAACCTGCCCACTTGTGACCTTCAATCGCGCCTTTCCCTTAATGTCAATACATGTTTTCATGTTACTTTCTCTAAGTCCCCAAATGTGTTTGTTACGTCGTATCGTTTCTCAGGCAGCACGCTGCAGCTTATCAGAGAAATTAAGGACCTTGGTGTTATATTTGACACCATTTAATAGCCACATCGATTTCATAATTTCTAAATCATATGCAATGCTTGGCTTCGTCAGGAGGAATAGTGCTGAGTTCTCTAATCCAAATACTTTAAACCGGTTATATACCTCGTTCGTGGGCTCCCATCTGGAGTATGCTGCTTTTATCTGGCGACCGTCCCATCAAATTAAGATTGACAGGATCGAGCGCGTTCAAAAGGTGTTCCTTAAAGACGCTTTACGCTCCTTGCGTTTCTCTGACCCGCTTCCTTCCTATAGTGATTGCTCATTGCTGATTAGTTTAAAATCGTTGGATAAAAGGAGGGGACATCTTTAGCTATTTGTACAACGATTTAGGGATTTATTGATGAGTGGAAAAAAGCTTATATTACGCCAATTTATAAAAGTGGCAATAAGAATGATGTTTCGAACTATAGGCCTATATCAAAGTTGGCTACTGTTCCAAAAGTTTTTGAGTCGGTTGTGAAACAGAGGCTTAATTTTGTAGTTAAAAGTTTGATCAGCCCTTATCAGCACGGCTTTGTAAGTGGCAGGTCAACTGTTACTAACCTTGCTATTTTCATGGAGGATTGTGTTGCTGCGTTGCAGACGGGTCTCCAAGTTGACGCAGTATACAAGGACTTTTCAAAGGCGTTTGATACGAGTTTCGCACAAGGTTTTGATCAATACTTTCCTTGAATGGATTCGTTCCTACCTTTCCAACAGGTGTTGTACAGTTGCCATCGATAATAAACTTACCAATCATTTTGTTGCCACTTCGGGTGTCCCTCAAGGTAGTATCTTGGGTCCTCTCTTATTTGTCCTATTCATAAACGATGTTGGGTCTTCTGTCGTCTAAGTATTTATTATATGCTGATGACCTCAAGGTTTACTCAGTGATAAAAAACTCACAAGACGCCATATTGTTGCAATCCGAGCTCGATAGACTACACTCATGGTGCTCTCTTAATTGTTTATCTCTGAACGTCAGTAAGTGCTCATATTCTACTTACACCAGAAAGCTGCTTCCTGTTCAAACCAAGTATAATATTGGTGGTTATGATCTTAGAACTGTCGTTGAGGTTAAAGATTTAGGAGTATACTTTGACTCAAAACTAACCTTCTCAACTCATATTAATTACGTTATTTCCAAAGCTTATGCTATGCTTGCTTTTGTTCAGCGTAATAGTCGGTCATTTAGGGATCCCTATACCCTTAAGCTTCTGTATGTTTCATTGGTGAGATTTAGGTTAGAATACGCGTCCTTCATTTGGCGACCCTATCAGTCCGTCTATTCAAACAGGATTGAAAGGATCCAAAAAGTTTTTATAAAATTTGCCTTGCGTTCCCTGAGGTTTTCGGAGCTTGTACCCCCGTATCATCTCGTTGCCAACTCCTTGGCTTAAACTCGTTAAATAGTAGGCGCTCATTCCTCGCTGCCTCTTTTGTGGCTAAAATAGTGGAGGGCTCTGTCGATTGCTCTACGCTTTTGGAGAAGTTATCTTTAAATGTTCCGTCTCATAACTTGCGGCGTGCTTCATTATTTTATTTGGGATGAAATTCTCGCCTTTCTTTAGAACCCTCTCCGAGTTAAATGATCTTTCAGAATATGATCCATCAGTCTCATTTGAAACAGTACGTCGTGTCCTGCTAAATTACTTTAGGTAGTATTTATGATCCTTTGCTTTAGTCAGTAAGGATTTGTATTCCATTTGATTGAATAAATAAATAAATAAATAAAGTCTAATGTGTGAACTTGTTTTAAAAAATATTTAATATGAGTATTTCGCGAGATATCAGTTTTGATTATTTACATTTTCTTTATTCCTAATTATCTAAAAACATTAAGTTATCTTGAATATCTGTTAAAATGCATGTTTAAGGTTATATTTAAGTTACGTTATTCAAACAAAATTTTAAACAGCTGAAACCGGAGCGTTTTAGATTTTAAAGGGGGAGTAGTTAAGGTACATCAATGAATTCACTTGGCA